CTCCTGCGTTCAAGCGATTCCCCTGCCTCAGCCTCCTGAGTAGCTGGGATTACAGGCGTGCACTACCACATCCAGCTAATTTTTCTATTTTTAGTAAAGATGGGTTTTCACCATGTCAGTCAGGCTGGACTTGAACTCCTGACCTTGTGATCTGCCCACCTCAGCCTCCCAAAGTGTTGGGATTACAGGCGTGAGCCACCACGACCAGCCGCCCTTTCTTTTGACGTGGGTTTTGCCTGAGTCCATGGTGGGGCCAAAGCCACCTTCTGCCTGCACAGAGGGGGCAGCCACTGTCTACTCTTGGCCTTGCTAAGCTCATGGGGGTCCCGCAGGACCCCATGAAGGTCAAAGCTGTGGACCCTAGAGCCCCCTAAACTAGTAACATTTGGCCCAGGGAGGCACAGTCCCCATATCCGTGGGCCATGAAGCATGTGGGGGCCAAGCCTGGCCTCCGTCCGGGGAAGCCTGGGTACCGTCGCCGCTCCACACCCCATCCCCAGTGGCCAGAGGCCCCATGCCCTGTGGCCAGGTGAGCCTTTCTTTCCCAGGGACCCTGTTCTGCGTTCCTTTCGCTCTGGGTCCCTCCCATCCCTCCCCTCCCCTCCCCTCCCCTCCCCTCAGCAGTCCTCTCCCGCCATGTGTCTTATGGAAGCAGAGACCCCATGCTGGGTTGGAGGCTCTGTCCCTGATTCCTAGAGGACCCTGGGTGGGGCCCCTGGCGGTCTGTGAAGTTCCCAGGTCTGAGAAGAGGCAGCTTTGACTGCGGGGATGTGAGTCTTGGTCAGGAAGCCACCGGCAGTCCAGGCCTCTGGGTCCGGGCCACAGGCTGGTTCTGGAAGCATCTCTATAGCCCCAAGAACACAGTGGGGGCGGGAGGGGAACAGGACGAGCCCACCCTTCTCTGCTGCCACCTGGCCCAGCTCCAGCATCGCCTACCTGGGCCAGCCCAGTCCCCTCCACCCGGTCCTACCCTCGCCAGGGCCTGTCCCTCCTCTGCCCGCAGCCCTCCATGGCTCCCACCTTCCCCAGGATCGAAGCCTGTCCTCTCCGTGGCCCGCCAGGCTCTGCACCACCTGCCCTGTCCCCTCCCCACCCTCACTCCCTCTGCTCGAGCCACATGAGGCTTCTTGCACTTCCTCCAACACGCCAGGCACCATCGTGCCCCAGGGCCTTTGCACAGCTGGGCTGTGCCTCCGCTCTACTTCCTCCTCCAGCTATCACCCCGGCTGCTCCTCATTCAGGTGGCAGCTCAGACACCGTCCCTTCCACCCACAGGCTCCTGCCTCCCTCGGGGTCACTCCCTCGGCCGCCCCCGCCCCCAGCTCTCTCCTCGCCTCTTCTCACCAGCACATTTCTGCCTGTCCTCCCTCCTCCACGGCACGGATCTCAGGCCAGGGGCATGGCAGCTCCACCAGCGTTTACTGAGTCTGGCAAATGGGTAGGCCAGGTAGGGGCTTGGGCGCCGGGCGGACCCCAGGAGGGTCACCAGGGCTTCGGGCCAGGAGGGACAAACCCCATATCTGCGTTATACACGCCCTCAGTAAACCAAAACTAGCCAAGGACAGCACCCCGCTGGGACTTCTCGGAACCTGGGGTGGGGCTGGGAGCCAACCTCACACAGCCTACGGCCCACCATCCAGGGCTGCAGAGTCCCCCCCGAGTCATGTCCAGAAGAACCTGAGCCTTTCACCTCGGTTGGAAGTGGGATCTAGGCAGAGGGCATGAGCTGGGGGGGCGCCTTCCTGGAGGAGGTGGGCCCTGAGCCAACCTGATGGAGATCCTGGGAAGACAGACAAAGCAGGGGCTGGAGGAATGAGGCCACAAGCCGAAGACACTGGGAGCCCCAGAAGCTGAGGGAGGCAGGAAGGGCTGGCCCTGAGGGTCCTGCCCACACCCTGACTTTGGACTTGTGGCCTGGGAGATGGTGAGGGAGGAATCCTGGTGTTTTGAGCCGCATAGTTGGTGGTGTTTGTGATGATGGCCCAAGAAACGGGTCCGCCCATCACCCATGAGACCCTGTACGCAGGGCCTCCTCGGGGAGGCGGGAGAGGGCGAGGCTGCCAGGCCCAGCAACAGCGGGTGGCCAGAGCCTCAGTCTCCCGCACGCCCAGCCACCTCGGGCACAGTCCTGGCCCACAACGGGCTTGTGCCCCCTTCCAGCAGAGGGCAGGTCAGTGGCATGCTCTGCACACAGCCCTGCCCCTCCTGTCACCCCCTGGAGGAACACGAGCCCCCCAACAGCTGCCACAGTCCAATCCTCACAGCCCCCAAACCAGACGGTGGTGGTGATCATTCAATATGGCTTTATTTTCTCATGGGGCCGCTGCATCCCACACCCGCCTGAGCCCCAGACGGCCGGTCAGTGCGTCCTGCCCAGGAAGGATGGAAGCTCCCTCCGCAACCCTGGCCCCACGGCACCCAGAGGCCCGCTGGCCAGCATGCAAGCACTCCCCAAATTCTCTCATGGTGACAAGGCGGCAGCTGCCCGGGTCCCAGAGTCCCAGTATGAGTGCCCAGAGGAAGGCGGTGACGGGCCTTTGGGCAAGTCTCTGGAGGAGGGGGGTCACCAGCGGGGCAGACAGGGAAGGGGAGTGCCCTGCCAACTGGGAGGAAGGAAGACTGGTTGTCCCCTCACCCTTCCAGGCTGCAGGATCTGGAGGGCAGAGGTGCCAGCCGAAGAACTGGTAGGCAAAGCAAGACCCCCGGGTCCTATCTGGACGGACTCCCAGGCTCCCATGGACTGAGGCCCAGGACCCTCAGACAGCAAACACCTCCCTGGGCCACGAAAGGGAGGCGGCCTCGGGTGCCCAGGCCAGGACTCAAGCCCCGAGCCCACACTGGGTGGGTTGTATTGCTAAAGAACAGACACGCCTGGGTCTCCCTGAGCTCAATGCGGCCTCCTTCCCCCCCGGCACTCACGCCAGGCGCCTGGCCTGTGGGGCTGAGGTTCTGTCCCAGCCTTCCCAGGGGGCTTGGACCTCCTCTCCGAGTCCCAGGAAGGGTGGCCCCAGAGACCACGTCCCAAGTCATCTCTTCCCCAGCAAATGCTCGGATGTGCCCCCGGAACACGTCGTTTCTACAGATGAGGAAACTGAGGCCCAGGGTGGGGAGTGATGGGAGGAGCCACCAGGCCTCCCCGGGCCACCTCCTGCCTCCCGGACCTCCACCAGCACGCAGTTCCCCAGAAACCGGCTGGCCATGGCAAAGCCTGGAGGGCCTGGGGGCTCCATGCCACGCCCAGGAAACCGCAGGCACCGGCTTAGGCTCAGGGCAGGGAGCTGGGGGGGGCACGCCACGCAGGTGAGGGCCCTGGGAGCTGGGCTTCGGCCTCGGAGGCACGGGGGCCACCGGAGCTGGCTAGGAGAGGAGGGCGGGTGGCTGGGGGTGTGCGGTGTTGGGGTGGGGGAGATGCCTGCCAGCCCCCCATGGAGCAGAGGCTCTCAGCGATGGTGTCTGCTCACCACTGTCAGAAAAGGGGAAGGCCAGGTGGTGCAGCTCCCCGAGAGCCCACTGTGGGGGGATGGGTCACTGAGACCACAGGAGGGACAAAAGGCTCCAGTGGGGCTGCAATCCCAGAACCCCGGCGCTGGCACTGCCCTCTCCAGGCAGGAGGGAGCAGAGACAAGTAACCACGCCCACGCCGCCACTGGGGAGCGGGAGGAGCGTCCACGGGCGGATGCGGAGCAGGGTGCAGGTGGCGCCTGCAGTCCAGGCCCCTTTCGGCCAGAGGCGGAGGCGGGGGCGGAGGCGGCGCGAGATCGGGCGGGGTCCCGGCGTCTCCGCTCTAACTGTGCACGTGTGCTTACACCGGACCGAGGGCGGCCGGCTCCCGGGGCTGGGGGCTGGTCCGCAAGTCTGTAGCCTGGCCCCGGGACATCTCCCAAGCTCTCCTCCAGAAAGTTCAAAGACAAGGAAAAAAGAAAGAATCCCCCCCAGTCTTGGAGAGCAACAGGGAAAAGCTCTGTAATTCAGTGTTTCGACCACTGCTGGGGAGGGGAGGGTCCCTGTCCCCACTGGGGCCGCCCGGAGAGGAAGGCAGCGTCCACTCACTCGTGCTCTGCCCCACGGACCAGGCAGCAGCAGGGGCTCCGGCTGTGGGGGTGGCCGTGTCACTGCGTCTTGGCCTTCACAAGCAGCCTCTGGACGGTCTTGTAGAGGAGGCTGAAGTGCTGGGGACGCGGCGGGAGGGGGTTAGGACGTGGGCGGGGCAGGAGTCCCAGGCTGTGCGACTCTAGGCTGGGCCAGGGCGCAGGATGCTTTCAGAGACGCCCAGCCCGGCTCCTGCTTCGCGCTGCCCCTGCCCCGCCTGAGCCTGGGCACTGCTCACCTGGACAGCCGCGTAGGCCATGCCGAGGTAGGCGGCGATGCCAACGGCCAGGAGCAGGTCAAAGACGGCCGGCTTGACTCTGTGGAAAACACAGGGCCCTACGGTGGAGGACAGGGCGGGCCAGCGAGGCGGCCCCTCAGACCCCATGGGCCTCGATCCCCTTCGGCTGTAACCCGTAGAGGGGTGACGGACTCCAGGTCCCGCGGGCCGCCACTCACCTGTACGCGTTCATCACTTGCTTCAACTGGTCGTAGAAGACAAACTCCGGGTCCCTGGGGAGGGAGCACTTTCTCAGGGGCACCACTATGCCCAACTAATTCTTTTTTCTTGAGTCTCACTGCCGCCCAGGCTGGAGGGCACTGGCACGATCTCGGCTCACTGCAACCTCTGCCTCCCCGGTTGAGGCGATTCTCCTGCCTCAGCCTCCTGAGTAGCGGGATCACAGGCACCCACCACCACGCTCCGATAATATTTGTATTTTTAGTAGAGACGGGGTTGTACCACGTTGGTCAGGCTGGTCTTCAACTCTCGACTTCGTGGTGAGCCCGCCTTGGCCTCTCAAAGTGCTGGGATTACAAGCGTGAGCCCCCATACCTGACAGCTAAATCTTTAAAAAGTGTTTGTAGAGACACAGACTGGGTGAGGTGGCTCCGGCCTGTAATCCCAGCACTTTGGGAGGCTAAGGCAGCCTGATCACTTGTAGTCAAGAGTTTGAGACCAACCTGGCTAACATGGTGAAACCCCATCTCTACTAAAAATACAAAACATGAGCCGGGCGTGGTGGCACGCGCCTGTAATCCCAGCTACTCAGGAGACTGAGGTCCAAGAATTGCTTGAACCCAGGAGCCGGAGTGTGTAGGAAGGTAAGATCACGCCACTGCACTCCAGCCTGGGCAACAGAGCAAGACTCTGTCTCAAAAACAAATAAATAAAAATTTAAAACTTTGTAGAGAAGGGGTCTTGCTCTGTTGCCCAGGCTGGTCTCCAACTCCTGGGTTCCAGCGACTCTTCTGCCCCAGCCTCCTAAGTAGCTGGGATTATAGGCGCCCTCTGCCACACCTGCCTAGTTTTTGTATTTTTAGTAAAGACAGGGTTTCACCACATTGGCCAGGCTGGTCTCGAACTCCTGACCTCAAGTGATCTGCCTACCTCAGCCTCCCAAAGTGCTGGGATTACAGGTGAGAGCCGCTGTGCCTGGCCCGAGTCCCATCCTCTCTTTGTATTTGCTCTGCCTGGCATCCCCAGAATGGGGGATGTGGGAGATGCAGTGGGGGTGGCCCTGTACCCCCAGGCTTAGCGGCGGCAGCGCGGAGCCCAGGCCCTCACCGCTTGTCGGCCTTGACGTGGTGCTGCTTCACGTCCTTCAGGTAGCGGCCCAGGTGGTGCTCCAGCGTGCTGAGGAACGTGCTGTCCTTGTCCACCAGCTGCGCGGCCCGGGGCTGGTGGGTGAGCCAGTCCATCACCGAGTCCAGCTGCTCCTGCTGGATCTGCTGTGGGGATGGTGGCGGCGGTCACAGCCCTGCCCCGCCCACGGCCCTGCCCCGCCCACCCGCTGGCCCTGGTTCGCTTACCATCTGCTCCGTGAACACCGGCATGTCTGGGGGCGTCCCCTGCGGAGAAAGGAGGGGACGGCCCTGAGTCCAGGCCCCTGGGGTGGGGCTGGGGTTGGCAGTGGCCATGGCCATGGCAAAGGCTCACCTTCTCCGTCAGGTTGTAGATGACTCGAGTCAGAGCCTCCGCAATGATCCTCGTGTTCCGCGTCAGGGTCTTAGAATCCACGCGGGACCTTCACGATTCAAACACAATGTTTTAAAATGTGGACCTGGTGCCGGGCACGGTGGCTCATGCTGGAATCCAGCACTCCAGCCCAGAAGACAGAGTGAGACTCTGTCTCAGAAAAGAAAGTTAAGCTTAGCTTCAGCTACTCAGCTGACACGCAGGCTCAGGTTCACCGCGCCCCACGACCTCCAGGACCCTGGCCCTGCCCCACCCCTGTGTGCAGGTGAGGCTCGCACCCCACAACCTTGGTTCCTACTGATGCGGTTTTCTGCTCTTCCGGGGCTTAAACAGGACTATTCCGTCCTGGTGGAAGAATCCGTTCTCGGACCCCCTAGAAATCCAGGTGGCCCTCCTGGGCTGACCCCACTTCCCAGCGATCTTTCCTAGCTGGTGGACAACCGCCCGCCTCCATCTTTTCCAGGGCTGCACACCACACGGGGATGTGTCCCTTCCCTCCCACCCCTGGCTTTTGAAGGCCTCCGATGGCTGAGCTCAAACAACTCCTGAGAACCCAGTGAACCCAGAGCAGAGCAGAGGCACGGTGAGGGTCTATGCTGGGCCCTCGGACGCTGGGGAATGAGACGGCGCCCGCCTGCAGCTGCCAGGACCAGCTGGGAGTGTGCCCAGGGTAGCCAGACTGTTCCAAGCTCCACAAAACCCTGCCCAGGGGCTCACAGGACGGCAGGGAGACAGGCAGGACACAGGGTCAGAGGACACAAGAAGCCAGAAGACACAGCGCCCCAGACAGAGGCCGGGAGAAAAAGGGGCTGGGGTGCAGTGGGGGACCAGGCTCCCCAAGATAGTGGCCGGGGCCAGGCAGGGTTTTCAGGCTGTGGCAGGGCCCTGAAGAGGCCTGAAGGCAGGAACTGCTTGCTCCTAACTTAACAGGTGACAGGGTCTGGGGGTCCCACACGAGGGCCACACCCAAGGCTGCTGGCCTCACCTTCCTATCCCCAGTAACTAGGAGATTGCAAACCGCCTGACCCTACAGCCGGCCTCGGCCACTTCCCCGCCCCTTCCCCGCGGCCTGTGTGGGGGCCGTTCCCTGCAAGGTCTCCCGGCCCCTGGGCTTGCGACCTGTCGCTCAGCCCCCAGGAAAGCTCCAGAAGGCGCTGGTCGGGCGATGTCGAGCTCACCGCACGTCCATGATGCTGCTGCGCTGGCCGTCGCGGTGGCTCTCCAGGTGGGACAGGGTGAAGGCAGGCAGCCGGCGGATGGCGAAGCGCTCGTGCTCCCAGGCCAGCACGTCCTCCGCCAGGTTGATCCGCTTGTGCACCATGGAGAACCGCACCTCGGGAAACTGATGCGCGGCCACCTGCAGCGGGCGGTGCCATCAACAGAGGACGGGCAGGGGCGGGGCCACAGACAGGGCAGGGCCACCAGCAGAGGGCGGGCAGGGGCGGGCCCATAGGCAGGGGCAGGGCCACCAGCAGAGGGCGGGCGGGGGCGGGC